TGAGAGCTGAAATGCTTCCAAGTGGCTATTTCATTCGGTCATGCAAGGGTGGAGGGTCAATTATCCATAAAGTTGATATCTTAGTTTGGATCAGCTGCCAAGCAAGTTGATATGTTAAATCATTAAAGAAGGTGAAAGGCTTCAAGTTTTGTCATGTTGGACTTCAAAGAGGATATAACTTTTGAGAAGACATACTTACTAAATTCAATTTGGCTTGAATATGCCCTGTGCTGCACTACAGTTACATATTTTCATCTTTATTTTAAATGGAATTCAATTATTATTTGATGATTTAGTGAAATTACAAGAAAGGAAATTTGTTAATTATTGTTTCTAAGCTATTTCTTTTTTAAATGTTATTGTTCCCTAATTGTGGTTGGGTTGAATGAATTTTGTTCAATATTGGATTGAATGTTTATAAACAAAAATTGATTGTTTTGAAAAAATAAAATAAAAAAAAAAGAAAGAGATTTGGCGACTAAAAAATTGGTCGGCAAATTCTACACTTTTTTGACTAAAATCATTGGTCGGCAATTCCTTACCTTTTTGCGACTAAATTGTTAGTTGGCGATTCCTCGACTTTTGGTGACTAATCTATTTGGTTGTTGAATGTGACAATTGGTGACTAAGATATTTGGTCGGGAAAATATCACTTTTTTGCAACTAAAGTGTTTTAGCGACAAAATGAATTAGCCGCAGTAATGATATATTTAGCAACCAAAAATTTAGTTGGCAAATACAACTTTTCCCGACTAACAAAAATTTTGGTCGCAAATTACTTTTGCCGACTCTCAATTAGTGACCAAAGTAGCGACCAAAAAAATTGGTCACAGATAACTTTTGCCGACTAAAAATAGGCTTTTAGCGACCAATTATTTGGTCGGCAAATGTGTTATTTCTTGTAGTCAATATAAAACTCGTTGGTCAATCGATCATTCTCAAATCATCAACAAAAAATAATACATAAATACCCTACAATATATAACACTTTGTTTTCTCTTCCTCACTAATAATCAGGATGGGTTGAACGCTAAAAATTGCAAATAATGTACTTTATATTAAACATAGTCACAAAGACCGCTCGAGTATTCACTTTATCGCTCAAGCGATGTGACTAAAGGCAGTGCTCATAAGGAATGCACAAGTCAAGATATGAAATGTTAGTACAAACTCCTCCGCCTAGTCACAACTTGAGTTGGTTTTGCATCTAAACTCTTGTAACTCACAGATAAAATAGAGCGAATAAAATGCAACTAAATAAAATTTTGTCCAACAGAGACCAATAATAAAAACCTAACAATTTGGATGGAAGAGGTTCCACCTTCTTTGGAGCAACTTGTTCTTTCTGAAGCCCCTGTTTTTGCTGGCTAATGTTTTCCTTGTTGATGTATTTGATTGTACCCTTTATCAATCTAAAATAATAAATAAAAAAACAAAAAAAAAACTCTTGGGTTATATGTACAACCATGCCACTTTTATTAAATTTTGAGTGAAATTTATTTTACTTCTTTCTGGTTTAAGCGAAAAATATTTTACCGTTCTATGGTTAAAATATAATCAGAGAGTCCCTATGTAATTTTGGGCCAAAGTGTAACCATTAATACCATTAACAATAGATGTGAAATGAATATAACATTCTCAAATCTTAAACTTTATTTTTTTTATTTTCTTTCTCTCTTCTATCTCATACACATAATTTATAATGTCTGACATTTCAATTAAATCACAATAATTATAATTTTTTAATTATTTATCGTAAATCTTAAATTTTTATTCTAATTTTTATTTAATTGTATTTTAGATCACAATTAATCCTAAATATTTAATTATTTATTGTATTACCTAACTTTTTTTTTCTAATTTTAATTTAGTTATATTTTATATCATAATTAATTCTAAATTATTAATTATTTATTGTTATTTCTAACATGTTAATCTAATTTTAATTTAATCATATTTTAGATCAATTCTTAATTATTATTTATTATTTATTTTTATTTAATTACATTTTATTTTATATTTTTATTTAATTATATTTTAAATAAATTGTAATTATATTTTATATTTTAGATCAATCCTTAATTTAATTTTAATTAGCATACTAATCTAATTTTAGTTTTGGAGAAAATGGGAGTAAAGTCGTTTTTTTGTTGTATTAATTTCACTTTATTTATTTATTTATTTATTTTTTAAGGAAACCAAACCTATTGTAAAAGATGATGTGTCTGATATATATTTCATTAGTTTGAATGACAAATCCAACAATGACACTTTAGTCTAAAACAATATGAAGGCTTTTTGACTATATTTGAACCATTAAAGTGTAAAATACTCCCGTTCTAAATCACGAGAGAGAGTAAAATAAATTCAACTCTTAATTTTTTAATGTATATAAATCACCAAATCTCGCACAAGGCTAGTGAACCCACACCACAATGTTAATGACATGAAATTTTTTAAGGGAAAAATACAAATCAGTTGTACTTTTAAAAATTAATTACTAAGGTAGAAAAAAAGTTTATGTCCTTCATAATTGAAATTTATAATTAATTTGAAATTGTTTTTGAAAATAACCACTGCTATGTTATTCTCCCAATTTTTATACGCATATTCGGTCCCCTGGTGTTGGCACCAAATATGAAAATTACAATGACTAGTTCTCATTATCCCTCTGTTTTGGCCAGAAACACTTTAAAATGTAAAATATTTTTTGCAGTAGAAACGTTTATTTATGCTTAGTTGAGGCGTCAAAATTAATGTACCAATGGTTGTATTAGTGATTGTGGGGATGAGGGTGAGGATAGAGGTGGAGGATGTGGGTGGTGCACTGATGGTGATGGGGGGTGGCGATGACGGTGATGGTAGTAGTGGTAGTGAGGTAATATTTGTGTAAAAAATATTTTTTTCTTTTTAAAATTAGAAAATACTCTTCACCCTAATAACTTGTTTTTGTTGACAATTAAAAATCATAAAACTTGTTTTATTTGGAAATCCTTACATTATATTCAACAAAAGGAGAAAATCATAAAAGACATTTGAATTTGTTTCTCTATCACAGAACATGTTGGACCTACAAGGCATTGATGAAAAGCAGCGATGGCAAATTGTGCAAGAAAAAACATAGTAATCATTCCATCCAATTTATTGACATGGACAGAAGTATAATTCTATTAATCATTCCTTACAATACAAATTTGATCAAAATGAATTTCAAATGAAAAATTATGTAAATCAAATTTAAAGAAAAACACAGGGAAAGAGAGAAGAAAAACAATGGAAGAACAAAACATATAACTATGTCTTGACTAAACCCCAAGTAGTTTGGATGAAAAGAATTTTGACTTCAATTGTGGAACCCTCCTTAAATAAGAACAACAGTTAGTGAGACTCTTGGGAAAGTCTATAGTACATTTTGTTCAAAAAATGTACGGTACATAAAAAATCAATGGCTAGGATTGAGCCACATCATTAAATGTGACCTGCTAAACAGGTCACTTTTCATAGTTATGAGTTAAAATCATATTTTTTTATAACTATAATCAAATTGATCATAACTTAGTTATAACCACATCTCATAACCAAAACCATTTTGTTCATAACTAATATCACATATTTCATAATCATAATCACATATCTCATAACCAACACCACTTTAAACATAACAAATATCACACATCGCATAACCATTGATCACATATCTCATAACTACTACCCACATAAATCATAACCACATCTCATAACTAGTCCCTTTGAGTCATAACTGTTAGGTTTTATTTCTTGGCAATCCCGTTTGACAAAACTCCTTTGAGTTGTAATTTTATTCGCATTTTTATTTCAGTGAGACTTTGAGTGTTTAGATGCGAATCCAACCTGAATCAAGCCTTTCAGAGAAGTTTGTGTTGATAATGCTTTCAAGATTGCCACTTCGCTGATTATGACGGGGATCGAGC